AGATGGACACACTATATACTGAGGACCAGAGGTGACAGGACTGTTAGATGGACACACTATATACTGAGGACCAGAGGTGACAGGACTGTTAGATGGACACACTATATACTGAGGACCAGAGGTGACAGGACTGTTAGATGGACACACTATATACTGAGGACCAGAGGTGATGGGACTGTTAGATGGACACACTATATACTGAGGACCAGAGGTGACAGGACTGTTAGATGGACACACTATATACTGAGGACCAGAGGTGACAGGACTGTTAGATGGACACACTATATACCGAGGACCAGAGGTGACAGGACTGTTAGATGGACACACTATATACTGAGGACCAGCGGCAATGGGACTGTTAGATGGACACACTATATACCGAGGACCAGAGGTGATAGGACTGTTAGATGGACACACTATATACTGAGGACCAGAGGTGACAGGACTGTTAGATGGACACACTATATACCGAGGACCAGAGGTGACAGGACTGTTAGATGGACACACTATATACTGAGGACCAGAGGTGACAGGACTGTTAGATGGACACACTATATACTGAGGACCAGCGGCAATGGGACTGTTAGATGGACACACTATATACCGAGGACCAGAGGTGACAGGACTGTTAGATGGACACACTATATACTGAGGACCAGAGGTGACAGGACTGTTAGATGGACACACTATATACTGAGGACCAGCGGCAATGGGACTGTTAGATGGACACACTATATACTGAGGACCAGCGGTGACAGGACTGCTAGATGGACACACTATATACTGAGGACCAGAGGTGACAGGACTGTTAGATGGACACACTATATACTGAGGACCAGAGGTGACAGGACTGTTAGATGGACACACTATATACTGAGGACCAGAGGTGACAGGACTGTTAGATGGACACACTATATACTGAGGACCAGAGGCAATGGGACTGTTAGATGGACACACTATATACTGAGGACCAGAGGTGACAGGACTGTTAGATGGACACACTATATACTGAGGACCAGAGGTGACAGGACTGTTAGATGGACACACTATATACTGAGGACCAGAGGCAATGGGACTGTTAGATGGACACACTATATACTGAGGACCAGAGGTGACAGGACTGTTAGATGGACACACTATATACCGAGGACCAGAGGCAATGGGACTGTTAGATGGACACACTATATACTGAGGACCAGAGGTGACAGGACTGTTAGATGGACACACTATATACTGAGGACCAGAGGTGACAGGACTGTTAGATGGACACACTATATACCGAGGACCAGAGGTGACAGGACTGTTAGATGGACACACTATATACCGAGGACCAGAGGTGACAGGACTGTTAGATGGACACACTATATACTGAGGACCAGAGGTGACAGGACTGTTAGATGGACACACTATATACTGAGGACCAGAGGTGACAGGACTGTTAGATGGACACACTATATACTGAGGACCAGAGGTGACAGGACTGTTAGATGGACACACTATATACTGAGGACCAGCGGTGACAGGACTGTTAGATGGACACACTATATACTGAGGACCAGCGGCAATGGGACTGTTAGATGGACACACTATATACTGAGGACCAGAGGCGACAGGACTGTTAGGTGGACACACTATATACCGAGGGCTTTGAATTCAGTCCTGTTTTGGGGTCTCCGTTCTAACCTCCACCTGTTTCCTTGCCATGCACAGTAAAACCCAAGGAGGAATCCACCACATGGAACATTGTGTCCCAGAAAGTCCTTCAGGAAAACAGCTGCTGGGAGGGCCAGAAACTGGACTTCACTCCCCATCCCGAGGCCCTGCACAGACCCTCCTGGTGACCTCCGTAGCAGAGGGAGTTCATCTAAGCCACAGAGCATGAACCAGAGGAGGTCAGGGACGAACAGGGTCCTATGCCTTTGTTTGAGTTTTACAATTGCATGGTATGCCTTTCATTCGGAGTCAATTCAGAATTCGCAAAACGACATGGGTCTATAGACTTAGGAAAGGCCCCCGAGACTCCCCTGTAATCTCACCGGCCGTTCCAAGCCACACTGGGCCTGAGACCCTGCAGGCTGAGGGTCCGGGTGCTGGAGAGGCGCCTCCCTCCCCAGGCCTGTCCCAGGCCCAGCGGCATCCCGCAAGCTCAGGAGGCTTAGCGGGAGCAAGGGTTCTGGTGGGAATGGAGTGAACTCACAGGTGAGCAGCCCTAGCCCCAAAGGCTGAGTTCCTGACTCCGTCCACCCACAGTGTAAAGCAAGCGGTGACACAGCCCCGGGCGGTGAGACCTCGCGAGTTCTTTAGCTGTTTCCCCCCTTCACTTACCAGTCAGAATGGGCCGCGATGCCAAGTTTTCTTTTTCTTGAGCCTAGGCTGCCTGTGACAAGGCCCAGGTCACAGACGGGGTGGCTTAGGGTCTCGTGTTCCCTCTCCCCTTTGCCTCACCCCTTTCTTCCTTTCAAGGATCCAAATTCCACTCAATCTGACCACACTTCCTGAGCCCTCGCCGCTCAGCACCCCAGAGAAAGTCCAGGCCAGTAACCAAGTTCCCCTCCAGCTTCCCCCAGCGTTGGGGAAAATTTTCAGGCAGACAAGCTCTGATTGTACCAGATGTCCCAGCAGGACCTGCTAATACGAATCCATTAGTGAATATTTACTAGAAGTTTTCAAGTACATGCCCTTAATTTTGCCAGTTAAGTTCCCAACTGCTATGGTAATGGGCACTGTAAAATCCTAGGGCAATAAAAGCCATTAGATTTACCACAGCTGGGAAAGGCCCGGGGTGGGGGCGGGGCTGTTCAGGTCAGGACTCATTCTCACATTTGTTTATTCCAAAGAGCGATGTCTGTTTCTGTGTCCAGCCCTGTGCTGGGTGCTGGGGACTAGCGGGGGACGATGGGAGATCAGTGAGCCCCGTCCTGCCACAGGAGGTCAGAGCAGGAGAATGAGGGGACTGTGAATGCCCCTGGGTGCTGGAGGCTGTCTGGAGGCAGGGTCCCCAGTGGGAGGGAAGGTGGGCCTGATGGGAACGTCCCGCCCCCCCCACCTGGGAACCCTGTCCATCAGGCATAGCAGATGCTGGCTGGGGCCCCTGGAAATGCTTCATTTCTGGCAACAAACAAAATACTGAACTTCTTCACTATGCTCGTCTTTGCACCAATGCAGACGTAAAATACAATTTTTAATGTTTTTGTAGAGGAAGGGCCCAGGAACGTCATCAGGAGGCCCTGGGAAGGGTCCAGGCAGGGGTGCGAGGAGAACTCTGATGCAGCCCAGACCACGGAGCTCCTCCACCTGCCCCCACCATGCCTCCTGAGAGACACGGGGAGTCTCCTCCGGAGACACGCCTCCCGAGAGACATGGAGCATGTCTCCAGCAGAGAGAACAGTGTGAGAGGGCGGACACTCCCTCAGCGGCGCCCCCAAGGAGGAAGAGCCGTCCAGAGCAGGGAGCTAGTTCTGACCTGGGAGAGTGTTGGAGGAAGCAGCCCCTCCCACTACTTGCATCCTGGGGTCTCCAGGGCTACCGACCAGCCCCAACAGCACATCACCCACAGACTGGTGTGTTTACACAAAGCAGGCAGCCCCAGGGCTGAGTGGCCCCCAGGGCTGTGTGTGGCTGCAGGCAGGGTGATCACCCTTGCACCCTCATCCCTCCAGACACACACATCAGCCAGCAGCCTTGGAAGAGAATCGGCCTCCCCAGGGACCAGCAGCTCTACAGAAAATACCCCAGCTCACCCACTCCAGGCCAAGGGCTGGAACAAAAGGGGAGGGAATGGTCCACACAGGCACCATTGAGGGTGGGGTCCCCACCTTGTTACACCCAAAGTCAAGCCAAGCCCATTAAGGGGAATTAGGCCCAGCCTTGTCAAGGACCAAGCTCTGGAAGTCAGGCTGGCTGCGCTGCAGGACGGTCAGCACCTGGAGCCCCACCCCAGGTTGAGGCAATCCATTGGATGAAGGACAAGCACCTGTGGGAAGGGCTTGCAGGAGTAAGGGGCGGCGGAGGCTGACACCGGAGTTTCTCGTCCCACCTCAGTCACTGCTAGGGTTTTCCTTTGCCTACGAAATAAAGTCCTCTTGTTTCATCATGGGGTTGAAAATCAAAGAAAAATGGCCCGTGTGCGTCTCAATCAATTTAGAGGTTTCGTTTGCCAAGGAAAAAGGCACAAAACCACAGGGCCGTGCTTTTTCCAAAGAGGGTCTGGAGACGCCAGCCTTCAAAGGGGAAACTGGGCAGCGGGGGAAGGAGGAAACAAAGATAATGGGCTTGCTTTTGAGGCTTTGATCAGCGTTCACTGCATCCATATTTTACCTGGAAAAGAGTGGGTAGAGGAGCAGTCAACTGTGCATTTGTCTGGCGCTCAGTGAAACTGCATTTTTACATAAGATAAACAGAGGAGCCGTCAGATGTACATTTGTCTCGGGTGAGTAGAGGGATGACTTCTAGTCCATCTTTGTCCCTACTGTGCAGATAAGCTGTTCATTTACACTGTCAGGGCGAAATTCAACAGAAGTTTGTTTTAGGGTAAAGATCTCGGGGACTGAAAGGAGCTTCCTTGTGAGGAGCCCCCACGGGGAGGTAGGCGGCCTCCATCTTTGCAGCTATTTAGGAACAAACTGGGAGGCGGTTTTGCACGGTCTGGTTCCCAGGCTTGACTTTTTTCTTTGGCACAGTGAGTTCGGGGTTCTGAGATTCTAGCTTTCCTTGCACAGGGTTCACATCCTCAGCCCAAATTATCTTCCCTGCCTAACAAACTTCACCTTGTTCTCTTCCTCCGGTTCCCAAACGCTGGATGTTCACCTACACTCTCAATGCCACATGCATCTTGGTTGAGGTGGTGAATCGAACGGTGGCCCCAAAGGGACACGTCCACATCCTACCCCCAGAATCTATGACTATGACCTTATTTGGAAATAGGGTCTCTGTAGATGTCATGAAGGGTCTCAAGGAGGAATCATCTCAGATTACTGGGTGGGTCTGCAATCCAATAACAGGTGTCCTTTTAAGAGACAGAAGAGCAGACACTGTACAGAGGGCCCCATGAAGACGGAAATGGAGGTTGCACTTCTCCTGCCAGGGCCAAGGATCGGCTGGAGCTCCGGCTGTGGGAAGTGGGGAAGGACCCTCCCCTGGGCCTCCGGAAGGGGCACAGCCCTGCAGACACCTTGACTTCAGACTTCTGGCTTGCAGAGCTGTGAGAGAATAAATTGCCATTATTTTAAACCACCCAATTGTGATAACTTGTCATGGCAGCCCCAGGAAACGAATACAGTTGACAAACATGCAGCGCGGCCCGGGTGAAGCCAATACCTGTCATTAGACTCCCGCCGAGACAGGCACACCTGGGGAGGGAAATACCAGGAAGAAGGTACTCACTCCCGCACCGACCCCTGAGCAAGTCGGGAAAGGAAGGAGGCCTATTAAAAGCAGGAGGTTGCAAAGCCCATGGTCTTGGGGGGGGGGGGCAAATTCCAGGGCCTCTTTCTGCAACCCACATGCCAAACATTCAGAATTGCTTGTTCCAGGGAAGCACTGTCATGGACTTGGGGTGTTGTTTTTAAAACAGCTATAGAATTGCAGAACAACACACATTTTAAGGTAACCTAAAATCACTGGGCCTGGTTTTGTGAAATCTGTACAGGCTGCTAGTGAAGAGGGGCTGGGTCCAGGTGGCTGGCCCCCGAACTCTGGGTTTGGACCCCTGATGGCTCCGCACTGACCATCCCCACAGGCCACAGACCATGTGGCCTGCAGAACATCTGGGAACACTCAGGCAGGTGCCTTGAGCTAAACAATCCTCTCTAAGAAACACACACAGAGTCTTCTGGGATTGCCATCCATTTCAGGCTGTATTACTTTGGGGATTTTTTTTTCAGAGCAACAAATTTGTATTTTCTAAAGATGTGAAAAATTTCAAACAAAAGCAATGATGAAATATACATGAACATTGCCGTACATGGCTTTTCAGTTGGGAAAATGTCCTCATACTTCCAAGAGCTGTTTCACAGGGTTGTGTGCTGAGAACCATATGATTAGGTTATAGTACAAGAGAAACAACATTCACAGAAAGCACGAATCCAATAACCACATCAGGATCGGGAAACAGCCTTGTACTAACCAACAAGGAAATGCGAGAGCTGGACCCTGGGCACAAAACGAGGAATCGGTGACCCTGCACTGAAATCACTGCCTGAGCCAGGCACTGAAGCTCAAGCCTGGCTGGAGGACATTGTGCTGCCCAGGAGGACACATGCCCCCTGCTTCACGGGGGACACCTCTGAGCACCTCCCTGTCTTGTTGCAGCCATGTCACAGTTCAACCCTCACTCTGCCCCGACTGCTCCCATGCCTCTCACAGGCATCGCTCCTGAGCCTTCTCAATAAACACCCTATGCAAATCTTCATCTCTGAGTCTTCTTCCCAGGAATCAGGCCTGTCCTAGATGAATAATGCACATTCCAGTTTCAGGGATTCTGTTTTCTCCTCAGTCTTCCTTGAGATTCTGAACTCTCCCTCCTTAAAGTTGTTTTCACATTGTACTGTTATTTCCATTTCCTTGGGTTTCCCTTTTCCCACCTGTACTGTCTCCTGATTGTTTCTCAGGGCTGTGAGTTTCCTCTTGTGATTGGCAGTTTTTGTTTGCAGTATCTCACGTGGACATTGCTCCTCTCAGCTGACTCTGTGGTCGCCTCGGCCTGGCCCCACAGGTTGCATGGTTAACAGCAGCTCCTCCGATAAGCATTTGAGGCTTGGAAAGCCTGGCTGGCCACTCCATCTGGCCCCCAGTCCCTTGAACCCACTGCTTCAGCCTCTGCTCACCCCCATAGGCCTTCTTGTGCCTGGGCCTGCAGTCTGCCCTTGCTTTTAAATGTGGTTCTTTCTTCTTTTTTAAAACAGTTTACTTATCATACCCTGTGTTAGGAGCAGAGGGGAGAGGATGACTCCTGGCTGCACTCCCTCACCTGGGCTCAGAAGTCCAGCCCAGTCTTCAACAGACAGATCTCCATGTTAAAAGCTTCACCTGCACTTAGAGTCAAAGTCACCCTGCCTCCTCTAAGTTGTGGCCATCAGTCTTACTTCTGCCCTCCGAAGCCGCCTGGAAAAATTTCCGCTCCTCCTGCATGTGAAGTCCTTCCAACAGGTGTTGGCTGATGGTGTTCCCCATGCCTTTCCTCGATGAAACATCCCCATTCTGCCCAAAGCACGGGCAGAATGAAACCTTTCATCCACGTGGAATCCTTCCCTAGATGCACTTCCATTTGTCAATTAATATTTAATTCTCTTAATGTAATTGTCTTCATATAATTCTCAGTACAGGCATTTCTATCTCTACTGGAAGACTCTCAATTTCATTGCCAGAATATTTCCATGTGCAAAGAGTTGTGCACCCCAGCCTAGAAACACCCCACACCGTCCCCAAGAGATGGCCCACCTGCCCTCATCGGGGTATCCCAGAGATGGGACATGCTGACTCACCAGCCAAGTCTCAGGCCACTGGACAGACACTGAGCATATTGGTTTTTTTCTTGTTTTTTGTTTTCTTTTTTTTTTTTTTTATTGAGACGGAGTCTCACTGTCACCCAGGCTGGAGTGCAGTGGTGTGATCTTGGATCACTGCAACCTCAGCCTCCCAAGTAGCTGGAACTACAGGCACGCGCCACCACACCCGGCTAATTTTTGTATTTTTAGTAGAGACGGGTTTCACCATGTTGGCCAGGCTGGTCTCAAACTTCTGACCTCGTGATCTGCCCACCTCGGCCTCCCAAATGCTGGGATTACAGGCGTGAGCCACTGCTCCTGGCCTGGTTTTGAAGTCTTCCTCCAATCTGATGATGAACATACAAGAACATCTGTTAGGACATTCCTTCTCAGTGAAAAGTGAGGGCAGGAGAGGGGTGGGGAGCAGGCACCTGAACACCCATCAGGTAAAGATATGGGGAAACACAGCGAGGTAGATCACGCCATGGCAAAGAGCAAATCCAAAAATGCTGACAATGTCTCTCTAGGGACACAAACATGTCCACTGCATGCTGCTGCCCTGAGAGAGAGAGAGGGGGGGAGAGAGAGAGAGAGAGAGAGAGAGAGCGGGGGAGAGAGAGAGAGAGAGAGAGAGAGAGAGAGAGAGAGAGAGAGAGAGAGAGAGTGAGAGTGTGTGTGCAGGCGTTTTTATACATATGTCTTTGTGTTTGTAAATACATAGAAAAAAAGATCTCAAGTCTAGATTCTAGATGAAGCCTGCCCACAGCTGGAGATCCTTTCTCCCTGCAGAAGACCAGAGTGGGCAGAGCAGAGAGTGCAGCTTTCCATTCGTTTTATACATAATTACCTCGGTATTGTCTGAACTTCAATGAGCATGCATTACCTTTGGAATTTATAAAGAAAAAGGAAAACATATTCTCCAAGGCCACATCCCAATGAATAACAGTTCTAATAGCACAGTGAGTGCCTGCCGTCTGCAGACCTGAGCTGAAGGCACCACGTGCCCGCACCTGCTGCCCACCCCACCGCGCAGCCTGCAGCAGGAACCACTGTTCCCTTCAGCAGAAGGAAAAGCGAGGCCACGTGGTTCACCCAGGCTACACAGCACAAGGCGTGCAGGGCCGGGACTGGCATCCCAAGAATCCAACCAGGAGCCCATACACCCGATCTCTGCTTCCCGTGACCCCAGGACTCCCTGCCTGCTGAGGGCCTCTTCAACCTGAACTTGAGCAGAATCCAACCAGGAGCCCATACGCCCGACCTCTGCTTCCCGTGACCCCAGGACTCCCTGCCTGCTGAGGGCCTCTTCAACCTGAACTTGAGCAGAATCCAACCAGGAGCCCATACGCCCGACCTCTGCTTCCCGTGACCCCAGGACTCCCTGCCTGCTGAGGGCCTCTTCAACCTGAACTGGAGCAGACAGCTTTTAACCAATGCACAAGAGGCCTGGAGTGTCCTGCACAGCAGCCCCCTCCTCAAGTGGCACCCGCACACCCAGCTCGCACATGGGCCCTCGGGGCCCTGGTGACAGCCTCACACATCTGTGTTCAGGGAACTCAGCACAGGGCCCCACAGCAAACACATGAGAAACCCACATTCTGTAATAGAATGTTCTAAAATTAATTCCACAAATGCCTTGACAAACATTCTGTATGAAGCTCAGCACATGAATATCCTGCTGTTTCTGAATATGCACCTTGGTCATGTGACTTTGATCAAGATTCTCAGATTCTTCGCTTCTCAGATGTCTCCCAAACATAATGAAGGACACCTCCCAAGGTTGTCCTGAGGAGCCCTTGAGAAGTAAAGCTATGGGAGGACATGGCCCGAGGAAGCGTTTCAATAGCCCGCATAGGGTTCATGGTTGTCGTTCAGCTGGCCCCTTGTTGAGAGCTGGGGGTGGCAGGTGCTGGGACCTCATGAAGCGTCATTGCCATTTAGTGACATGAACCTGAAGCCTCACTCCCCCAAAGCAGACCCCAGGCCTCACAGAGGGCAGCGCTAAGTGACATTCCCCATGTTTGATGACTGTGACACCAAAATGCGAAGGCCAGGCATGTTCCATGTGACAGTCCCTCTTGTCTTAAACATGGCCACAACAGCCTGCCTACCCTGATGTAGTGCAGAAATCAACCTTGGACGAGCACCCCCCTAGGCAGAATGGAGAACCCTGGACCCTCCTGTAGAAAGAAATAGGGAGGGCCCCGCCCCAGCCTCAGCAGGTAGCATAGGGAGAGCCCCGCCCCAGCCTCAGCAGGTGGCATAGGGAGGGCCCCGCCCCAGCCTCAGCATGTGGCATAGAGAGAGCCCCGCCCCAGCCTCAGCAGGTGGCATAGGGAGGGCCCCGCCCCAGCCTCAGCATGTGGCATAGAGAGGGCCCCGCCCCGGCCTCAGCAGGTGGCATAGGGAAGGCCCCGCCGCGGCCTCAGCAGGTGGCATAGAGAGGGCCCCGCCCCAGCCTCAGCAGGTGGCATAGGGAGGGCCCCGCCCCAGCCTCAGCAGGTGGCATAGAGAGGGCCCCGCCCCGGCCTCAGCAGGCGGTCATTCCACCTACTCCTCTCATAACCACCTCTCCAAGCACATCCCAGCCCAGGCACCTCTCAGGTGAACGTAAATGCTGCTCTGCACGGAAGATTCCTGACTCCGGTCCAGGCACCGCATCTGCTTGCTGAGGTAATTAACAGAATGAGAGTAATGAAGCAGACAAAAGAAGCGAACGCCACTCACTATGGCAGCAGCGAGAGGAAAACAGAGCCCCTTGAAGTTCTGAATCGGACTCAAGTGAACCTACTTATCAGCGTCTCATTTAATACCCCCATTCCTTTGGAAAATAAATTTCCATAATTCTTTCCTCAATTAGACCAATAAACTGTTACTTAAGTGTCTTTCTCTTAAAAGTTTTTCTAACTCCTCACTCTCAGCTCCTAAAGCCAAATGCCCACATTCAGAAACTTGGTGAGGCAGGGATGGAGATTTTAAATTCTCTCTGTCCTCAGTCCCCTCCTCCCTCCTCCCCTCCTCCCCTCCTCCCCTCCTCCCCTCCTCCCCTCCTCCCCTCCTCCCCATCCGGGTCTCCTCCTCCCCTTTCTTCCCTCTCCTTGGACCAAGGCTGGGCCTGGCTGAGGCACTCAAGAGGCACTCAAGAGGCCCTGGTGGGAGAAGGCCGGTGTGAGGCCCAGGCCCTCTACTGACCAGCAGAGCCACTGACCACTGCCCGGCGGAGCATGAGTACCCCAAAAAAAGTGGGAGGATGCACACGGGCTGCTGTGAGAGCCCAGGGAGGCCACAGGTGAGAAATACCTGTAGTGCATTCAAACCAAACTCATGTTGCAAACACCCAAAGTGTTCCTGGGACCAGCACGCTGCTCTGCCTCACCCAGTCCCCCTCCCACCACCCCAGGGCTCAGGGAGGCCTGGGCTCTAAGGGAAGCCGTCAGCACGTGGGGCTCAGATCAGCAGACCTGGGCTCCACCGCCTGCTACCTGCCATCGCACCTGTCCTTACCTCTCTGAATCTTCATTTCCTGTCCGCACACCAGGAGTCCTGGGCATCCCTAGTCATCCTCAGTTCTGCTGTGACACTAAAGTGCACACAAACTGCCAGCTTGGTGCCCGGAACGCCCAAGCCGTGAAGTGGCCCCAGACTAAGTCTGCGCACCCTGAAACGCAGACGCTCCTCTCACCTAAGTGCCCGGAGGAGGCAGGGTCAGCCGGGGACTTGTCTGCTGGAAGCATCCAGACCCTCAGCTGTTGACAGAGAAAGGCCGAGCAACCCGCACTTGATGAGGAGGCTTTAACTGCTAACTTTGATGCATCTTTCCAATACCCTAAACCCCTGATGAAGATGTGCACAAGAGGAACAGACGCAATTAGAAAGAGAGGCTCTTGTTTCATTCTATTCAGAATCGGCTTTATTGTACTTATTTATAAAACCTGCACATTTTCAAAGTCAAGGAACACAGAAAGGGAAACACGCTGTGCCAGAGGACATCACATGCCCTTATCTTTGCAGGAAAATGAGGACAAACGCATGAGATCAATCTCATTGCCCACTGAGTAGTGAACCTCCACAAGAAACAGAAAGATGTCCCAAGTTTGTCTTTACAACAAGTGCCCTCATAAGCTCCTTCACAAACACTTCGTGACCTTCAGCAACTTGGCAAAGTCTCCTGTCCAGGATTTCCGATTGAAATAACAGGACTTAGGATGCTGTAATGTCAGACTCCCAACGTGCTCTCATGCCTTGGCTGCCAGGGTCAGAAGGCCGGGCAGCTCAGGAGCACCGTGCCCAAGCATCTTCATCTGGGGCTGGCTGGGGCAGGACCCACCATGCCCAACCTGCTGTGCCCTGCCCACTAGGACTTTGCAGCACAGCACAGTGCATTCTGGATGCCACCAGGAGGGCCTATGTGATTGCCCCTGCCAAGAGCCCAGGGTAGTCAACAGACCATGCCCATGGCACCCAACTTAGAAGAAAGGATGCCTCATGCTCTACCCACTGCCCACTATCCACAGTGGTGTGGAGGGCACTGCCACCCTGAACACAAGTGAGGTAACCATTCAAAAAAATCAATGAACCCCTGAGCCAGAACAGGCACTCTGGACTTCCAGCCCCTGCAGCACACAGAGACCCTTTAGCTGACCACCAGGTCTGAGACAGCTGAGCAAGCCCATGGGCACAGGGCACAGGCCTTGCCTCTGCCCACCAGGGCAGAAGACAGCGGCTGAGCCAGTGCACAGAACTCAGAGGGTGAAGTGACACTCTGCCCTTCAGAGCACCAGACATGAGACAGAATCACACATGCAGGAGCCACTTCATTACCAGCCTGGTACCTGCAAGCCCCAGGGGCCCCAGGAGGAGAAGAGGAGACAGAAGGAGAGAAGTGGGGAGGGAGGGTGACGGTGGCCAGTCTTTGAATCGACCAAGCAAAGAGAAAGAACAGCCTGAAGAGGTTTCCCTAGTGCCGCCTCACACATGGGGCATTACAGGCCTAGGCTCGGGGTCTCCAGAGGACTGAGGGGAAAACTCACGGAACCCCAGCAGTCGCAGGCAGACAGGCCAGGCAGGTTGGGCTGACTGCCGACAGAGCCACCCCCGGGGACTCGGGGATAACTGAGCTCATCCCCTCTTCTGCCTGGGGGTGGGAGTGGCATCTTCCAGGGGCTCTGGCTGATCCCTTCCTCTGACAGACCCAAGAGCCACTGCAGCCAGGCCGGGACCAGCGTCCAGCCCCTCCCCGGTGCCCCGTGACCACCACCTGCTGGGTCCCTCTGTTTCCTCACCTGGGAAACAGGAAGCTGACCCGCCACCCACGGTGCTGCATTCTCTGAGTCTAAAACAAGAGAATATGGAAAGGTCTTGGTGCATCATCGTCAGGGCGACATTGTTACAACGAGGCACTGGAACAGAAAACAAAACCCACTGGTGCATGCTCCCGGCACGCCACTGCTGCAGACCAGGCCTGCAAGCCCTCCCGGAAGCTGACCTAGAAATGCGCCACCTAGACCTAGACCAACAATCTGCACCTGCAGCTGAGTGCACGAGACCTGACATTCCCGGGCAGCAAAAACAAAGCCAGGGCCAGAGGGGAACTGGGTAGTGCCGGCTTCAGATGTGTGTGCAGGAGTGAGAGACAGAGCTGCATGAAGCCTGCACCCGCTACGGTCACCTGCCCTCCGTGGAGAGGACACTGGGAGGAAAATCCCCAGCAGTGGAAGAAGACATCAAGGAACTTACTGTGTTTCTCCTGGCAGGGGTTCCAGGCAGAGGAAAATGCTTTCTGTGAAAATTCAGAACCATGGCCCTGCTGTAAGTGTGGGATTTAAATCCACACCTCTACAGGGCCTGGGAAACCCCACAGAGGAGAGTGAAGTCGGAGTACCCCAGGCAGGTGGTGGCCTCAGGTACTTGGCAGAGGCAACATGTAAAGGGCTCATCCTAAACCCAGGCTTCACACCCTGTCACAGACGAAGCGAGCTACCTTGAAACTGCCAAACGCACAAGGAAACAGACACAGCGAGTGAGTCAGGGAAACAGATCATAGAATCTGGTCTCCAGGAACCCCGGAGAATGGAGTCATGAAATATGAATATAAACTCCATATATTTACGATCTGTAAACCAATAAGGGATGTGCTGGGAGGCCGGGCGTGGTGCTTCACGCCTGTAATCCCAGCACTGTGGGAGGCCGAGGTGGACGGATCTCCTGAGGTCAGGAGTTCGAGACCAGCCTGGCCAACATGGTGAAACCCGCCCCCATCTCTACTATAAATACAAAAAAGAATTAGCTGGGCATGGTGCACACACCTGTAATCCCAGCTACTTGGGAGGCTGAGGCAGGAGAATTGCTTGAACCCAGTGAGCTGAGATCACACCACTGCACTCCAGCCAGGGCGACAGAGTAAGACTCCGTCTCAAAAACAAGAAAAGAGCTGTGCTGGCGGAAGGGCTCAGGCTGGCGCAGAGTCAGCAGAGGGCAGCAGAGGGCAGCAGAGGGCAGCAGACTCCCTCTTCCCGGAGAGCAGCGCTTCCCAGACTCTCCACTTCTGGATTCCAGGTCAGGGGGCCACCTCCAGGCTGTCCTCATTTCTAAACTCTTCCGTGACAGCGGGAAGGAATGTGGGCATGAGGATGGCCCTGATGGCAGAGGCAACTTCTTGCCCTGATCCCAGCTGCCCAGGGGAGTCGCACAGAAGCGGCCCCGCGGGAGGTCCAGAGCCCACATCAGTCGCAGCCACGTCCTTGTCCACCTGCCCGGATGAGGTCTCCCAGCCTTTCCATGGGCCACTCTATCTGCTGCTCCCAAGGTGGAACTGGAAGTATGATAAAAAGGACAACAAGTCATCAAGAAAAGGCCAAGCAAGATGTGGAAAAATCACATAGAGCTTTTAGAAGTGAAAAATACAATGATTAAAATTAGAAGTGTCATGATGGGCCAAGTCAGAGACTGGGCCCAGTGAAGGGAATCGGCGAGCTACAAGGTCAGCCTGAGAACGTTTCCCAGAGAGAACAAGAGACGCAAAATACAACACGGAGAGCAGAATGCGGAGGCCGACCGTAAATCCAACGGAAGTCTCAGAAGAAGAGAACCGGGGAGAGAAGATAGCTAACATTTCCCAGAACAGATGACACATGAATTCTCAAATGCGGGAACTACCTCATGTCCCAAACGGAGCAGGTTTTTTTAAATTCACAATTAGACACATACTGACATTGCTGAACACCAAAGACAATGAGAAGATCTTACAAACAGCCAGAGAAGAAAGCTCACCCACCCAGGAATGACAGTTACGACCACCGACTTCCCCACGGCAGCTCTGAAGGTATAAAAGAAGAGTCTCAAATGGCTCAAGAAAATAACCAGCAGTCCACGTTTTCACATACAGCTATGTCACAGTTCCAGAAGGAAGGGCCGGTAAAGCTGTATTGATGCAAACGACACTGAGGAAAATGGTGCCAGCAGATTCTCACTATGGAACTTCTAAAAGATTAATTCAGGAACACGGAAAGTGATCCAGGAGGAAGGTCCGAGCTGTAAGAAGGAATGAGATGTTCTCAGAAAGGTAAGTGTGTTGATAAATGTAAGCAAATGTCGCCTGAGTAAAACAATAAAAATGACTAACATGAGACATTTAAAGGCAAGTGGAGACAGAGGATGGCAGAGGCGAAGAGAGGGCTAGCCGGACCCTCCAGCACCTGGAGGGTGGAGGAGCTCCCACTGCACACGGCCACGCATCACTCGCCTGCCAGCTGAGTGTGGTGGGGGCGGGGGGGACTGTTTTCTTCCAATATTTCAGAACACATTTTTAAAAGAAATAGAGATCACATGAAGGAAAAGAATAAAAAGAAAGGAAAAAGCCACCGTGGACATGAATGAGAAAGATCTCAGGCAGCCACAGAAAGAGCAGGACAGCAGACGCCCGGTTGCTCTCACACCTGCCCTCCCCAAGGAAAAGGCACCACCAAGATCCAGCGCCATCTTTCCTCCGTTCTCGGGCCAGCCAAGGGGTGCCCAGGGCAGAAGGATGGAGAGACAGACCAGGGTTTCCCCGTGCAATGGAGCAGCACTCAGACCTGAACTTCAGCTGGTCCCGAGGCATCTGCTGTGTGGAGGCAGCTCCACAGTGCCAGGCTCAGCAAAGGAGGCTGCATGCCGGGGTATCCCAGTCAGGAAGACCCGCAGAGGCAGGAATGCACTCCCAGCTTCCGGGGAGCGGCGGCTTGGTGGGCATGGGCTTCTCTTTGGGGTGACGAAAGGCCTTGGAACTAGACAAAAGCGGTGGCTGTACAACACTGTAAATGTACAAGAAGCCCCCAACTTGCTTGCTTTAAAATGGTGAGCTTTATGTTATGTGAATTTTACTTCCACTGGGGGGATAAAATCGAAGGCCCTGAGGGGAGTCCACTTGGGGAGGTGGAGAGTGGTGGGTTCTTCAGCCCCTCCACTTCTAGGATTCTGGGATGCCGCTTGTCAAGAAAACCTGGCATCAGATCCTTAAGGCAGGGGCTGGAGAAACCCTCCCATCAAGGAAACCGCCCTGGGCTCTTCCAGCAGCAGCCCCACCTGAGACTGAATGATGGCGGCAGGCTCTGGTGGAAAAGGTTTTGAGGTGAAAAGGGCGGAAGGAGGCAGGAGGTTCGTGATGAGGAAACGGGGAACAGGTGCTCCCCTCCCCCCAGTCACTGACCCCAGGTAAACAGGCCTCGTGCTGGAAGTCTTAGGAAACCTATTTTTGGGTATTTGCTGTGTTTAAATGTTTCCCTCCTGACACAGAAATTCTATCAGGGTGCCAGCAGCAAGGCAGGGGCCAAGACCCAGGGAAAGTCCCCGGGGAAACTAAGGCAGGGGCATGGTCTGTGAGACGAGGGCCATCAGCTGTGAAGATGCCTAGTCACAGGCATGCTGGTACCTGTCACCCTCCCTTGCACTGTCAGGGCTGGCGAGGGCCTGGGGCAGACAGAGCCTGAGAATGCCCATCCTGGCAGCCTGGGCTGGTGGGGGCAGGCAGGCAGTGTGGGGCAGGTGGGCAGAGATGGACAAGCCGGGAGGGCAGGGATGGACGGAGGACAGCCAGGGCTGATGAGAATGGACAGGGGCAGGCGGAGGCGGGAGGGGCAGGCAGGCCTTTCTCGAGCCAATCTTCTGCAGCTTAAAGAAAAAAAAAAAAACTACATCTGCTGAATATTTTTGTACAATTCATACAATAAGAGCATTAAAAATAACCAGTGGGAATTACTTTGACTTTCAAGAAGCCCTCTTAAAAGGCGACTGAGCTGAGAAGGTCCTCATGGGAGGTTAACAGTAAGATCTTCCATATATTAAACACTGATTAAGCATTAGTAATGAATGGGAATTCTCAGTTCTCTATTGGAAACAGGTTAACTGCAGAGTTTGAAGAAATCAGAGGAGGTCAGGTGTTTCTTCCCTGCTACCATTAGCAATGGGCCACAGCCACCAGCAGCATGTGACAGTTTGTCAGTGACGACAAAACTGACAGAGGACTCCCAAGGGACCTCAGGGCACTGCACAGCAGCGAGGGTACACCTGGCACCACAGCACCATGTGGGCTGTGTGGGCACCGTGTGGGCCATTCAGGCTGTGTGGGCTGTGCAGGGGCTGTGTGGGCACCGTGTGGGCTGTGCAGGGGCTGTGTGGGCACCGTGTGGGCTGTGCAGGCACCACATGGGCTGTGCGCTCTGTGTGGCTACCGTGTGGGCTGTGTGGATTGTGAGGGTACCATGCGGGTTGTGTAAGCTATGTGGGCTCTATGTAGGCTGTGTGGGCTGTGCGGGCACCGTGTGGGCTGTGCGGGCACCATGCAGGCTGTACGTTGTGTGGGCACCACGTGGGCTGTGCTCTCTCTGTGGGCACTGTGTGAGCTGTGCGCTCTGTGTGGGCACTGTGGGCTGTGTGGGCATCACGGGGGCTGTGCTTTCTGTGTGGGCACTGCAGGCTGTGTGGGCATCATGTGGGATGTGCACTCTGTGTGGGGACTGTGTGGGCTAAGCAGGCCTCATGTGAGCTGTGAACTCTGTGTGGGCACCATAAGGGTTGTGCGCTCTGTGTGGGCACTGTGAGGGCTGTGCGGGCATCATGCAGGCTGTGCGCTGTGTGGGCACCATGTGGGCTGTGCGGGCACCATGCGGGCTGTGTGCTCTGTGTGGGCACCATGTGGGCTGTGCGGGCACTGTGCAGGCTGTGCAGGCACCATGCAGGCTGTGTGGGCACCATGTGGGCTGTGTGGGCTGTGCAGGCACCATGCAGGCTGTGTGGGCACCATGCGGGCTGTGCGGGCACTGTGCAGGCTGTGTGGGCACCGTGCGGGCTGTGTGGGTACCATGCGGGCTGTGTGGGCACTGTGCAGGCTGTGTGGGCACCATGCGGGCTGTGTGGGCACTGTGCAGGCTGTGCAGGCACCATGCAGGCTGTGTGGGCACCATGTGGGCTGTGCGGGCACTGTGCAGGCTGTGCGGGCACTGTGCAGGCTGTGCAGGCACCATGCAGGCTGTGTGGGCACCATGTGGGCTGTGTGGGCTGTGCAGGCACTATGTGGGCCGTGTGGGCACCATGTGGGCTGTGTGGGCTGTGCAGGCACTATGTGGGCTGTGTGGGCACCATGTGGGCTGTGTGGGCTGTGCAGGCACCATGCGGGCTGTGTGGGCACCATGTGGGCTGTGTGGGCTGTGCAGGCACTATGTGGGCTGTGTGGGCTGTGCAGGCACCATGCGGGCTGTGTGGGCACCATGTGGGCTGTGTGGGCAGTGCAGGCACTGTGTGGGCTGTGTGGGCTGTGCAGGCACCATGTGGGCTGTGTGGGCTGTGCAGGCACCATGTGGGCTGTGTGGGCACCATGTGGGCTGTGTGGGCTGTGCAGGCACCATGTGGGCTGTGTGGGCACCATGTGGGCTGTGTGGGCTGTGTGGGCACTGTGCAGGCTGTGTGGGCACCATGCGGGCTGTGTGGGCACCATGTGGGCTGTGTGGGCTGTGCAGGTACCATGCAGGCTGTGTGGGCACCATGCGGGCTGTGCGGGCACCATGTGGGCTGTGTGGGCTGTGCAGGCACTATGTGGGCTGTCTGCTCTGTGTGAACCCACCTTCCTCCAGGGCTGGTGCCAGCTGCCTGATGAAATCCAGCTTCCAGATCCTGTCTTGGTGTCTGCCTCTGGAGGCCACTCCCAGGGACACTGACTCTGGCATGGAAATTAGCCCAGGGCTTTATCAAGGACACGGTAGGACAAACAGGGTAGCAGTGTGGGGGGAGGGGGAGGCAGCAAGGAGCTGGGGCAGCCCACTGTGGGTGGCCCACCAAGGCCCCACCTTCCTCTTTCAGAGCAGCCAGGCTGGGTCTCTGCACCCCTAGATGACTCATCTCGGGGTGCAGACACCTCAGGCAGGGCGGGGCAGTTCTGCAGCCTCATGAGTAATGGTGCCCCCCATGGACTAAGGTGAGCTCGCCAAGCAGGAACGAGCAGTCACCACCCCTGCATTTTGAGACCTAGATGAAAACACTCACATGACCTCACCAAGCTTCCTGCCAGCGCCATTCCTAAGTGTCGGTGTTCGTCCTCACTGCTGTCAGCAGCAGGAGGTGGCAGTGCTGTCCCTGTTTGCTGAAGGAAACACAGGGATGAATGGGCAAGGACACACCCAAGGCCCTGAGACCTGAGGCCTGACCTGCTTGCCACGGACGCGCTCCACCTCCTGCACGCGCTGCTGTGAGAATCAGTAATAGCACCAGTCAATACGTTCCCAGGTTTATGGGAGACACAGGATTAATGCTAAAACGAAACAGACCAAGGCATATGGATTTTCAAATGTTTTAAATTGTGGTAAAATGCACAGAACATACGTGTTTCCAACTTAACCATTTCAAGTGCGCAGCTCAGTGGCATTCAGGTCATCCGCGTTTTCAACCCTTGCCACCACCCCCCTCTAGAACCGCTTCATCTTCCCAAATGGAAACTGTCCCCGTCAAACACCTGCTCCCCGTTCTCCCTCCCCGGCCCCAGCAGCCACCCTTCTATTTCCTATGAGTCTAACTCCTCTGGGACCTCATGGAGGTGCAATTGAACAGTATCTGTCCTTCCTGACTGTCTGGTTTTCCAGAGCAGAGTCCTCAGGTGCACCCACGTTGCAGCCTGGGTCAGAGCTTAATTTTTTTAAGACTGAATAACACAGCATTGTGTGTGGGCATGCACATATTTAAAAACAGAAAGCAGTCCTCAGCCTTCAAGGTTGCCACAAGGCCAGAGCTCCCCCCACCTTCCCACACCCCCCAACTCCCAGCCCATAGGAAAGGCTGGTGAGGGCACAGGGCCTCAGGCCAGGACAGCTGTGACCTTCGGCTGTAGATGATCCTCCCCCTTCCCCCTCCTCCTCCCCCACCTCTCCCCCGAGACACCGTCCTCTGGGACCACCGCACACATGGCCCTGAGAGCAGCCTTCAAACTAATAAAAGCAAAAGAGGTTCTAGGTTGCTCCTGATGAAATGTGGACCCCTGACATCTGTTGGAAGGAGCAGCTCATTCCGAAAGGTGGCACTAACTTCCTGTTATCCTTGCAGAAAGAACTGCATCGCCCTTGGGCTGGTCCTGGCATTGCCCATACCCAGTGTGCCACTGACAGGTGGGGACAACGGAAATGATGACTGGGCCCCTCTCTGGCCCTGTTGCCATGGCCAGGCCCTGGGCCTTCCCCAAGGTGGGTGCTGCCAGCTGCAGAAGCTGTAAGACCCCCAGACAGACACGGTGTGAAAAGCGGCTTCCGAGGCCACAGCCAGGAGGCATTGTGGGAGCAGGGGCAACGCTCGATGCCCAGGTCTTTTCATATTTGAAAAAGCCGAAAACCCATAACCCCACGCCCCTGCAGAGCACCATCTGAGAAAACTCTGGAGTAAGGCCATCTACAAAGCAATGGACTCCAAATTAGACACAGTGCCGGCCCCTGCCTGCCTCCGAGGCTGCCCCTGCCCCACGAAGTTATGGTGAACATGGCTAAGGGCTGGGGTGCGGCACAGGTGGCTTCCCTGCACCAACCCCTACTGCCCGAGGCTGCCTTGCCACTCACTGTTTTGGGGCAAATCTTATTCCTTCAGTAACACAGGAGATTTCTGAAAGCGGGGAATGTCCTATCTTTTTCTTTCTTGTTTTTCAGAGACGGGGTCCTACCACATTGCCCAGGCTGATCTCGAACTCCTGGGCTCAAGGAATCCTCCTGCCTCTGATTCCCAAAATGCTGGGCATTACAGGCATGGGTCACTGCATCCAGCAGGTCTTATCTTTCTTTTCACTCCCTGAAACTCACATGGAACATGCTAGAATGAAATAAATTCAATTGCCAGATTCTGCACTTTCCCCTGCAGCTGCAGATATTCTGAGGAAAGGGGCACTGACTGGGATGGCAAATCAGAAGGCCATGGGGAACAGTTTCTGCCCAGCTCTGCCAGCAGCTCCCTGGAGGGCCTGGACAAGCCACCCGCCTTCTCTGGCCTCAGTTTCCCCACATGGGTCACCTCTCATCTAAGACCCTCAGATACTCCATCTCCTGAGTGGCAGGAGCGCTGGCCGCCCCATGCGTGGATGGCCTCCTTCCTTTCGGGCAGCACATCATCCGGGGAGCCAGGCCCTGCCCTGCAGGGCTGAATCGGCACCATCCCAGATGGTCACGGGGTCCCCTGCCCTTCCGCCAGAGATGGAGTCGGGGCAGTCACCCCAGATGGCCAAAGTCAAGGGAAGGCTGCAGGTACCCAGGGTGGCTGGTCTACCTGCCTTTCTGCCTGGAGTGCAGCTTCAGGAAGAGCAGAAGCCTGAAGGATCACTGACGCCTCCAGACTGATGAGCAAGGTGACGCAGGAGCTGGGAGGACCCAGGCCCCAGGAGTAGGCACACTGAGGCCAGAAGCTCTCCCACGTCGGTGTTCCCCCACACGCTCCATGCTACCTGGCATGCATCGCTCAGCACTGCCCCGGCTGGTCCCCCTAAGATGTTTGAAGAGGCTCCACCCCACCACCCCTCCCATCTGTGGATGCGACTGCACAGGGCCCACTGCACAGGTAAGTCCTGGCAGGAACACAGCAGCCCTCTTCTCTCTGGGCACAGACACTCCCCAAGGGCAATTGAAAGCAGAAATCTGCTGGAATGGGGTGAAGGGGTCTGTAGGGGGTGTGAAAACATGAGTTCACACCTCAGCCAGCCATCCTGAGATACACAGATACCTTCGAATCGGACCTCACTCTAGGTACAAAGCAGGTAGAATGTGATCACGGCAGTGTTCCGACTTTCCACCTTCAGGGATGCCTTGTAAGTCCCTCTGGGCATGGTGAGATTTTTATAAGGCTCTCAAGTCTCCCTTTTAAGTGAAGTAAAGGCTAAAAACCAGTGCCTTTTACAAGCAGAGCTTTAAGACCTGAAGCCACCACCTGCTTTTGGTGCAGTCTTTCAGGAAAAGGAGGGCCTTCGGTGGCCGCCTGGTGATAGCACACTGGGCAGAGGAAGAAAGGGGCCAGCCAGGGCCACCTGGAGCCCATGGAGTCAGGACCCCTGGAACCTGGTCCTGGGGCAGCAGTGCATCGTTGCAGCCTGGGTGTCCAGGAACTCATGATTAAAAGGTAAAGGATGTGTTAGGAGTGATGAGACTTTTATACACATGTTTATGAAAAGAGCATCGGGGACCATGTCCCTCTAGTGAAAGGGCATTTCCATTAACTCGCCCGACTCTGTAATGCACAATGCACTTACAAGTAATGAAACCAAATTGCTTTCAGTGTTCTGCAGCTCAGACTTTTCACTGAGACCCAGTGAGCTTTTTATCGGAATATCATCTTACTGAGTGCCTCTTTAGAGGAAGTTGCCACAGTAAATCCAGGTGTGCTGTGAAACCTCTAGATGAAATTTTCTTTCCCTACCTGTAGCTTAGGGATGAAACAGAATATGTTTCTCAAAAAGATCCAACACATTTGCCACTGGTCAAAAATTTGGTGTCTTTTTCACAATTTGTATTTTTACCTATATTCGAAATCAGTTATATTTTGGCACAGGGAGCCAAATATGTTGTTGGCAAAAAAAAAATTTTCTTTGAGAAGGAATCTTGCTGTTGCCCAGGCTGGAGTGCAGTGGCATGATCTCGGCTCACTGCAACCTCCACCTCCCAGGTTCAAGTGATTCTCTTACCTCAGCCTCCCGAGTAGCTGGGACTACAGACACATGCCACCTCTCCTGGCTAATTTTTGTATTTTTAGTTGAGATGGGGTTTCACCATGTTGACCAGGCTGGTCTTGAACTCCTAACCTCAGGTGATCTGCCCACCTCAAAGCACTGGGATTATAGGCATGAGTCACCACACCCAACCCGAGCAAAATTCTTAATGAGCAGCTTGTCACTATGTTGTTGACTTTTGTGCTTAGGGGGAAGGATATGCCACCATACTTGGATTTAAAGGACAACCACAGAATCTGGCACCTCAGCCAGGTGATTCTCCCCCACCAGGTGATGCTCCACCTCCATCACATGATGTTCCCCACCCAGGTAATGCTCCCCCACCAGGCGATGCTCACCGCCAGGTGATGCTCCCCCACCAGGCAATGCTCCCCCCCAGGTGATGCTCCCCCACCAGGTGATGCTCCCCGACCAGGTGATGCTCCCCCCCAGGTGATGCTCCCCCACCAGGCAATGCTCCCCTCCAAGGTGATGCTCCCCCACCAGGCAATGCTCCCCTCCAAGGTGATGCTCCCCCATCAGGCAATGTTCCCCACACAGGTGATGTTCCCCCCCAAGGTGATGCTTCCCCTACCAGGTGATGCTCCCCCCTCAGGTGATGCTGCCCCCCATGATGCTCCCCCACCAGATGTTGCTCTCCCCGAGGTGATGCTCCCCCTCAAGTGATGGTCCCCCACCAGGCGATGTTCCCCTCCAAGTGGTGCTCCCCTCCAAGGTGATGCTCCCCCATCAGGCAATGTTCCCCACACAGGTGATGCTCCCCCCCATGATGCTCCCCCACCAGATGACGCTCTCCCCAAGGTGATGCTCCCCCTCAAGTGATGGTCCCCCGCCAGGCGATGCTCCCCCCCAGGTGGTGCTCCCCACCAGGTGATGGTCCCCCGCCAGGCGATGCTCCCCCCCAGGTGGTGCTCCCCACCAGGTGATGGTCCCCTGCCAGGCGATGCTCCCCTCCAGGTGGTGCTCCCCACCAGGTGATGGTCCCCCGCCAGGCGATGCTCCCCTCCAGGTGGTGCTCCCCCCTAGGTGATGCTCCCCCGCCAGGCGATGCTCCCCTCCAGGTGGTGCTCCCCACCAGGCCATGCTCCCCTCCAAGGTGGTGCTCCCCCACCAGGTGATGCTCCTCCCCAAGGTGATGCTCCCCCTCAAGTGATGGTCCCCCGCCAGGCGATGCTCCCCCCCAGGTGGGGCTCCCCCCTAGGTGATGCTCCCCCGCCAGGCGATGCTCCCCTCCAGGTGGTGCTCCCCCCTAGGTGATGCTCCCCCGCCAGGCGATGCTCCCCTCCAGGTGGTGCTCCCCGCCAGGCGATGCTCCCCTCCAGGTGGTGCTCCCCGCCAGGTGATGCTCCCCCCCAGGTGATGCTCCCCCACCAGGCAATGCTCCCCCCTAGGTGATGTTCCCCCCCCAGGCAATGCTCCCCCGCCAGGCGATGCTCCCCCCCAGGCGGTGCTCCCCCCCAGGTGGTGCTCCCCCCCAGGTGATGGTCCCCCGCCAGGCGATGCTCCCCTCCAGGTGGTGCTCCCCCCCAGGTGATGTTCCCCCCCAGGTGGTGCTCCCCCCCAGGTGGTGCTCCCCACCAGGCGATGCTCCCCCCCAGGTGGTGCTCCCCACCAGGCCATGCTCCTGTGTGGTTTCTACTCTGCAGAACAGCTACTCAGTTGAGCTGGAAGATCACTCCCCATTATGGCTGTTAGTGGAGAAGGTGGTAGCAGCATTATCCCTCTCCAACAGAATAATTTTTATGTCAAGCATCTCTGCCATAAGCAGTAGAAGAAATCAGTCCCCAGTTTGTATCCTAATAAAGGAAAGCTTTTCTCTGCTCACACTGTGATGAGGCCCTGCCCAGAGAAGAATGCTCCATTGAACCCCCCATTCAAGGCTGACCTAGAGGACTGGAGGCAGACAAGGAATGTGAGGGACAAGGAATGTCCCCTCCCTTGGAGAGGGGCAGCCTGTCAGCCCTGACTGGTGCTCAGTCCACACCATGATGCTGCTACTGGGAGAGCTGGAATGCTCTGCAGGTCATGGGTTGATAGCGGCCAGGCTGGATGCCCACCACGGCCTGTGTCAGGCGAGCTCAGGCCTTGGTGCCACACTCTGGCCTGCT